TTTGGCCGATAAAACGGGGTCGTTTGATTTCGAGAGCGATTCTCGAGACCGATACGAACCGTCTGCCACGTGGGTCTGTCACGCGGCGGTAAACGCGGGTGCGCCGACGGCCAGGTGTTCCACGCGGCGGCGTACGCCGATTTTGTGGGTCGTCATGGCAGACAGACACCCCGGCCGAGTCGTGCAGTCGGTTTGGCACATGACTGGCGACAACACGTTTCGCCCCGTTTATGTAGGTCACGAGCTACGGACGGGGTTATAGCAGTCAGGGCTGTAAGAACCGAAAGAGCGGCGTGTTGGCGTTTACACGGCCGCGCGCGATACCCGCGCGGTAATCCTAAGGAAACGGAACTTACTTCGCGCTATTAACTTAAACACGTTCGTTCTATTTCCGTCAACTGGGCGGGACGTAATATCAAGAAAATCTTGCTATTATCGGCTGTACCGCGGCTGTAGCGCGGAGAAAATTATTTATATCCTTCCTTCCTTCTCTTGTTCACTCGGCAGCTGCTATACTCCTCCCCCCGGCCCCGGAAAGACACCTAACGATTCGACCAAGGTACTTTTGCGCCCGACGTATCGCGTGTTGGTCGAGATGAGAATGTAAGGTAAAAACACTACGATCCGCGGAAAGAGGTCTCCAGGCACGAGCCTGATGTAACCAAGCGCGGTTTATTCAAGCAGGTGTTACCGGGTAACGAAGCTGCCCGCTGCCGAAACAGCCGAGCCACCTGTCCATTTTTATCAAGTATATTACGCACATTACATTCACACTTTGGGGCAGCGTGTCCGCCGCTCGTCCACGCGCGCGTACGCTGAAAGAAACGAGGTGGCTGCTTTATAGTTCACCTCCATGCTAGGATCTGTGTCTTTATGCACCCTCTTTGTTTATCGAAACGACCAGACGATTAGATTTAGAAAAATTCTAATCGATTTGAAGCCCGTTCTTCACGCACTCGTATGCGCGAGCAGCCAATCGACGCGAATGGAGATTTCAAGCGACGGAATTGGAGAGAGGAACGCGATTCGTTTCTCACACCAGTTGACCAGTCTTGTCAATTTCGCACAGGACGCGCGTGCCGTTCTTATCCAACGAAAGCGACTCTTTCTCTCTCTCTCTCTCTCTCTCTCTCTCTCTCATTCTAATCTAATCAAAAATTAGAAAAAATAAAAAACAAAAACGCGACTCCTCGCGTTTCCTCGACTCGTTGATTTGAAGAAAAAAAAAAAAGAAAACGACGTCGAAAGATTGACCCGAAGATCGGTCGTATGCAGGTGCGACCCCTTTTGCAAGGTCTCGCTACTTTCTACGCTACTTTCTGACTTTTCAAGGCAAGCTAAAAAAGAGAAATCGTCCTTCGCGCATTTGAAACGGACCACGAGACCATTCATGCTGCGAAATTGCCAATGAGCGACCCTTTAATCGGGCAGATGTCGTTTCCTTTTCAATAATTACGAGGGCTTGCGAGCTAGAGAGAGAGAGAGAGACGAAAAATCGCGCTCTAAGAGGCGATTATTATGTTGTTGTCGAATAGGACTTAGAATAATGCGCCTCCCGATCGTTCTTTGTGTCTCTTAAATGTATTGTGATGAAAACTTCATTGTAAGGGAAACCGGCCGGACTCTGAGTTCGAGTACGGTCGGACGACGACCATTGACAGAGGCCGCATACTCGCTCGCTCCCTCGTTTGTGCCTAACACCTCTAGCCGTCTACTGTGTTTGCGTGCCGTGGTCATCGTGATCGTTTAATTTAATTTAATTAGTCGTCAACGCGTATCTTCGTTACGATCAACGCAAAATTACGAGCGGCTAAGAAGCGCTAATTGCGACCCCGTATCATGGTCTTACCAGTGTCCTCGCCAATGAAAAATCGTGTCAAGGCTATCCGTGTGATGTGTTATATGACAGCGCGCGATAGTTGCATGCAATGTCGAGCAGTAATTTTACTTTAGTCATACTCGTAACTTTAATGTTGCAAATAAAAACGGAATTTATCTTTCTCTCTCTCTCTCTCTCTCTCTCTCTCTCTCTCTCTCTCTCTTTCTCTCTCTCTCTCTCTCTCATGATTAGATTCATATTTCTTTCAATATCCCCGCGGATCCAAGTATGAATCACGTAGACACGAGCAAGTGCATGCGCTTATTTGATTTAAAATGTGACATCTTTTAGATTACGAACGGGAGCAGACAAAGACTTATGAAAGACGGGAGATATGTTTGCTTAATCCGCGCGTTCGAACTGCCGGAAATTGAATATTGACCTCGCTTGACATCGATTTCCCTGCGTCGTGACGCTTCGAATGACGCTGCTATGAGTAATACGACGAGTGACTAAGATTTCTTCTTTCTACTTCCACGCTTGGCGCGAGCGCTCTTAGTGATTTCATCGCGCGTCTGCGCGCACGCGGCGACCTGATTAACGAATGAATCTTGTATCATCGTGTCAAACTAGATAATGGTTTCGTCTACGAGTAAAGCACAACATTTAAAAATACGCAATCTGATAAGAACCTCAATCGTGTCGTTACGCGTGGTGCATAAACAAAGCTGAAATCATGTTGCAACCGCGTCAAGCAACTGCTACCGTACTTGCATCCGCCAACTTTGATCATATAACACTTTCATGTTTCGTAGTTTCTCTCTAGCCTTACGTATGCCGACGATTCTTACGATTCTTGTCACAAGTGCTTTCACGCGGAAGCTCATTTGCGATCAAAAAGAGTAATTAATAGCCGAGTCGAAATTTTGGTTCTGCATTAATCGTGCAAATTCCGTCAAACTCGCAGGATCAATGGAGAATCTCGAGGTAGTTTTACCTCGATGCTGCAACAAATTACATATCTTGCAGTTTTCTCTGTAGTCCTTAAAAAACTATTTTAGAATTATTTAATATTTGATTTGACACAGGTGTACTCTATTTAATTTTTATTAATTTCAATAAACGGAAGCAAATTATTTTTATCGAATTTATTTACCCGCAAGTAAAGAATATGCATAACAAACAGATATTAAATAATTCGTAAGGAATTAAAGTATAAATGTAATTAATGGAGAAATAAAATGCGAAAGGAAGATTTTCTTTCTTCATAATCTCTTTATTTATTGGTTTTCTATTGGTGTTGGAGATTTCAGGATTTTTAGGATTTGAAACGGATGAAAATGAAAGAGTTGTAAAAACAAACATAGCAGTTGTCTGTCTAATATTGTAAGTATTGTCGATAGAGATTCAAGTGTGGATGTTTGTGAACGTAATTGACGAGAAGCGTTTGCAGACGCCAAGACAAATGTCTTGCTCAAGAATTTTTATTAGACAGACAAACCAACACTTGTGAAATTTACACTAATTTCTAAAGCCGTTCTTCATGGTTGCAAATTATTTACGATTTTTCATTGTAATTATTAAACATAATTATAAATTTGTATTTAATATTTTTGTTCCGTAAAATAAATGCTATAATTTTTTCTTGTGTGAATAAGTATGTATACAGATTGACGAACAATCGGAGATTCATCAAGATATAATTTGTTAAATAACGGCAAACTATGAATGTCGGCTTAAATATCTCGACTCGGATATCCCTCTCTTCGCGAAAAAGTTTGTCAAACGTTGGTAAAAGTCGAGAAAAATTACGCATAATTCAAGATCCAGCATACTTTGAGATGTACGATGTATCGTTGACCATGTCCAGCTGTGTTTCGCATCTCGTCCGCTTTTCGGCCTAGTATCCTTTTTGCCCAACTGCTCCGTCGTCGTGGTAATCCAGATTTCCCCTTTCGTACCACCGCTGCTGACACTGACATTTGGGGGCAACACTCGGGTGGGTAACACCGCGCGATTCGATTGAGAAAATCTTGACGTCAATTAACGCAACGTGGGCGAAAGTCTGATTGTATATTTTAAGAGCCGAAATATTTTAACCGTCCGACGCAAATTGTGACACACTGACTGACTACTACGCGGAGATACACGCGACGCACCGGCTCGTGATGTTAATGTACGTACCGTGCGGCGTACACGCGCAAAAAGGACGCACGCGAATACCAAAACAATGCGCACACAAAAAGTGCTACGTCACATGGCGTCGTCGCCCAGTGTCGAGCAATCAAAACAATCTACGTTTTCAAAACACTGCGGATTTTCAGAGAGTCAAACTTATATTGTCGCGTGCTATATGTTTTGCCGAGAACATTTCCATCGCTCTTCGTCGGTATATTTGAAATATTACATTTGATTCTCGTCGACATCGCGTTAATTAATGTATTGTACATTTTCCTTCTATCAAATTGTATCTAGGCGAGTGTTCAGTGCCGCGAGGGGTGTCCACGACGGAGCGGCTGGAAGTCAGGATTCAGGAGGGCAAAACGGTGGCAGTCAAACACCGAAACGCAATCGGCGATGCATCATATAATATATATATATATATATATATCTATATTTTCTGAGTTTGACGATTTTACCGAGAATAAGGAGAGATACTCGAGTCGAAATTTAGGCTAGCACTCGCAGTCTGTTATCAGTTAACAAATTATATTTTGACGATTACAATTTTATAAGTCTTTGATCGTTTGACATAATGGACGTGCATGTGTTTCGCACGATTATTGATTTAAATCGATTCAATCGAGTAACGATTGATCAGTATAAATTTGTAATTATATTCTCAATCGAAGATAATCGTATAAAATTTACGGCTGTGAATACCGGCTTGGGATGTAAATTTCACGAATGTTGTTTTTCGTGCGCCTAACAATGCTTCTTGAGTCATAAAGAGTATTATCTTGAATCCGTTAATGTCTTCTTTTCACTTTTGTTTGGACTTGTGAATCCGAATTTAAACAAAAATAAGCTATCAGACGTTTACTTAAATCTCTATTGGCATACAGCATTATTAGGCACACAATCGCGATGTTTGCTCTCTCACAACTCTTTTTCTTCCATCTCCAGATCCTATCGAAATTTTCCCAACGCTAATAAAAAAGACCAAGAGATTTTACGGGGAACAAGAGAAAGAAAAAAAAAGGAAAATAAAAAAAGAAACAAATTCCTCTACCCATTCATTCGCCTATTTATTTATTTATTTACCTTTCCAAATGTTTATTAGACTATTTAACATCTGCTTGTCTCATTTTATCTGTGTAAATGAGTAATTTACACATTATTGATTAAAGTCATGGAGAAAAGATTAGACGATACCGAGATAATTAAATATTAAATAATTTTGAAATAAATCTGTGTCAAGTCCCGAATATGCAGAATTATGAATATATGATTAATGTGAAATCACAAAATTTCGACTCTGCTATATACCTATTAACGAAATCCTATGACTGGTGGAGCAGTCAAGGACGAAATTAAAGCGAGGATGACACAGGAGCGACACAGAGAGAGAGAGAGAGAGATCGCACACAATCACCGCTGCGTTAACGTTGACATCTTTTGTCGCATTATTTAGTTGGTCTGTGATAATGATGAAAGCGATAAATGAATGACGCGAACGAACGAAACCGACTCTTCGAAAGTGGCTCTTCTCAATTAATCATCGTGCGAATTACTGTGATTGATGCTGTGATTGCTGTGAGAGATATATACAACTAGCGATACTCGGCGATGTTATAGCCGAGTAATGAGTGTGATAATATCTACCGAGATACAATTGTATCTCGACGGTAACGCTTCGTAAAACGAGTCTCAAGATACACGAAGTGCCTTCCGCGAGCTACAAGGACGCGTGGGGTCAGTATGCGTGGGTTGTTGCACCGGGTAGTCCATGTCGGATCGATACAGCTTGCACCGGGGTGCACCAACCCGGCTAGCAACGACCCACCATCCCCTCCTCATCCATAGCAACAGGCAGCTATTTACGCGTGTCGGGTTAACCCGTTACGCGCGTGTCACTTACTGATTAAATGATGGGCGCGCAATCAGCATCTTCCATCTCGTTTTCCTGGAAATATTCAAAGGTAAAGCCGTTACGAACAGCACGCGGCAGTTACGNTAGGATATACGTATTAACGTATGATATCGGACAAGTGAAAAATCTAAAAAATCCCTTCAAACGTTCGCGTTTAAAAAATTTAAATCGTGTCCGCAAGCAAGTGTCCGAGTCAAAATTGTCTAAAAGAAAAACACCAATATATATATATATATATATATCGGATATTGCTCGATTATGCCGCGCGTCGCGTCGTAATTGTGAAAATTTGTCTCAATTCGCTTTGCTCAATTAATAACTATCCCTAAACGCGACTGGACCTCGTGGTGTCCGGAAAACTCCACTGGGCGGGGAGCGATTTGACCTTTCGAGAAACTCAGTTAACTAGAGCCAGCTTGGAGGTGGGTGTCATTGTCGATGGAAACGCGAGTCACAACCGGGAAATGGGTTGAAGGTCAAAGGTAAAAGGTTACGGTACAGCGAATGCTTTCGTCGTTCGAATTTTCGAATCGTCAGACCGTTCTATACGTTCCCATTTTTTCCAACATCGAGATACAACGCTCTAACAACTTGGTTGTATTCGATTGTACGAATAATCGTTGTTCGTTTCGCGCAATAATACGTTCAATTGCGCCGTTAAATATTTAATGTAAAAAAAGAAAGAGAGAGAGAGAGAGAGAGAGAGAGAGAGAGAGAGAAAAGGAAGCGACTGTGCCATCATTCCGCGTGATGTTTCAATGATCAACCGCAAAAGCCGGCGATTATAAGCCGGTGGAATACAAAGTTGAGACGATAAGAAGAGGGATAGCGAAAGCGATACGCGAGTCGGAATCGACCTTGACTCGAGGACTAAAGTTTTCCAAGAGGGTGGCGAGATCCTCCGCTCGGTATATACGAGTCGGGAGAGGAGCAAAGATAACGCGAGCGCGCGTATCAGAGGGAGAGGTCATTTTCACAGCTAGTGACCTCCAAATTCCCCAAGAGCGCGCGCACGTGCCTACGGTATCTCTCTCTTCGCTCATGCTTTGTCAAGGACATAATATTTTCGCCGCGCTGACTATTATCGTTTTAGGAGCATTTTATTATCGTTGAAGGAGGCTCTCGAGATTGGAAGCTGAAAGCCTCCACACACCATGAGGAGGAGGGGAGGAGGAGTCGTGCGCTAATATCGTCTAAATATCGTACTTTTCTCATTCCTTCGCTGGCTCACGTAATAACGAGCGAAAGAATGCATGCCGATTGGAAATGTCTTCTCAGCGCGATACAACGACGATCTATTGCACATCGCGGACGTATTGTATGCCGCGGAGAGGATATGATTTCATGAAAACAATTAATTGTCTTAATAATCTTTAACTGTCAGAATTTCCTCTCTCCTTCTCGCTCTCCTTCTCTGTATTTCTTTACGTAAAAAAGAAAGAAAGAAGAAACACTTTTCCTAGGAGACTGGTGTCGTGGTGTGTTGCGACGACATACGTATTACTACGTCTGATATCAGCACGGCAGTGAAGTGAGTCGCGGAGGCCAAGGCCGAGTAAATTCGCCCTCAGAGAGAGCCTATCCATTCAAAAGCTTCTGTACGGCTTCTCAGCTCGGCTCGGCTCGGTTCGGCTCGACGCCCGACACTCGTCATACGAAGCAAAGTTTTATAACGGTCTTACGACTACCAAAAGAACCGCTTGCCACTCCTCCTTCTCCACTTTATCATAATAAAACGCGCTCTAACAAATCGTGAGAAATAACGTCGCGCGGATCAATTTGTTCTTACATCATTTTCATCGAACTCGTGGCGTTACAATAATAACTGTCCAATAATAGCACGAAACGACCGTCGACGTCATTAGCGAGTTGTGTATGTAGTATCCTTCGTACTGTTATTTCATCATATTTCCCGCGTACATCATTTTTCTCTTTTGTATTTTTTTCTTTTTTTCCATCAAAATTGCTGCGAGTCGCATTAATGCGCGTCGCATCGGCTCCGACACGTGCTCCGACCGTGACCGTGAACCGAGGCAGGAAAAGCCGTGGAGAAAATGCGCACCGGTGACAATCGGACCTTATCAGTCGCGTGGCACAAATAGGCGCGCTCGCTGAATGCGAAGAAGCGGATATAGACGAGAAGGGATGCGGTGACGAGAGAAGACGCGAGGCGCGATGCCAAGTTCAAGGATACAGGACGCGTGATTCCCCCCTATCGTTTCGAGCGGCCGGCGAGCGGGGGCGGGGGAGGGGATATAGGCGTTAATCGGGAAATTGTGCGACACGTGTTAAAATATTTAAATTTACGTTAACATTTCAACGAGAGAGAGAGAGAGAGAGACGACAATTGTTATTACATATCATCAGACGCATCATGTCTTGTTTTCAGCTCATAAATTACGGGCTCTTTTTTTCTCTTCATCGCGAACGACTGTGAAAGGTAATGATAGTCGCGACAACTTATTTTATACATGAAAACAAAGAAAATGCGCAGAATATGGATGAACGTGTTTTAAAGTGTCATAATGACGTAACTCTCTTCGATAATTTAACATACAAAAGCGAATATGGAGGCCGCGTACATAATTCCCAGAACCCGAGAACTCTCGGCGCAAAGATCTATTCTAACAGTTTTGAAAAGTAGAACTCTTTCGCATGATAAAGGATCACCTTGAATGACAGTATACGCTACGAGCGTATACGCGCCAATCCGCGTTCGAGATCATATCGTATCCGTCTACTAAGTCGCGACTCGAATCGTCTGCCGGAGAAAACGCGCAATTTTGCACACGTTGGGTAAACTTGTACTTCTATATTATAGAAAATTATTCCCCTTTTCACGCGAGAAATGGGGAAGAGGGGAGGGGGGGGGGAGAGAGAGAGAGAGAGAGAGAGAGAGAGAGAGAGAGAGAAAACTGTGCAAAATGATATTTCGCTCGATTGCCGCGCGACAAGAAAATACTTTCCGATTTAAGAGCGGCGCTTATAGCGCGAACATTTACGGGTTAACGGCGCGGCGGAGAGTTGAAGGTCAAATTCCTCGACCTTCGACGATACGTCGATTACTCGAAAATAGCCGTTGTTGTTGGAGCAATACGCGCGCGACACACCATGTCCTACGCACACTCGTCTCATCAGAGACGTCCTTCGCCGACGGTTCTTTTAGCCGCGTGCACGTATACACACTGACCAGCGCGGCCGCGTGTTTCCAACGCGAGCGATACACGTGACCGAGATTGCACATGCGAGTGCTGCAGCAGTTACAAAACTTTGGAACGATCGGTCGTCATTGTTGTTATCGATATAGTTTACGAATTACAAGAATTTTACGCGGATAAATTGAGATAGACGAGCGAGCGAGATGAAATACGTATAAACCCCTCCCCCCCCTCCCGTCCTCCTAATTCCGCTATTCCGGAAAGAACAAAATGCATTCTTTACTGTCACGCACAGACTCTGTCCGACATTTTTCGGCGACATAGTCGCGAGGCGAGGTAAAGATACTCGCGGATCGCGGATCGCGGCAAAACATTCGGTACGTACCCGATACAAATCAATGGAAAACACCGCCGCCCCCCTTCTCGCTCGATCAAACGATCCCAAAGTCTACGCACGACTCCCCCCCCGATATCCCATCGATAATTGCGGGACTTCGAGTTTCTTTCTTTCGATCGGTCACAACAAAGCGCGGCGCGACAAAGCTCGAGCATCGCTCGAGGAAGTCGTTGCTCGGATATTTTTGTATATACTTTGATACTCCTCTACAATGTTTTCCCGCAATGTTATCTGCAAGAGATATCCCGAAACTATTGCGCTGATACTTTATAGATAGCATCTCCGAAAGATGTTTCTCTTATCGATAACACGGATCAATTTCCTCATTTTCTCTCAATCTTTTGGTCCGCAATCTTTCCCGATAAGAGTGCAAATTCAATCAAACTGTGTGTGTCTTAAGTTGTTTTTCGCGCTGGAGCATCCTCCACAACGTTCCGCGACGACGTCGTGGTATTTTTTAACTGTCTCGTACGTTCGTCTCCCCTTCCTCGCCTCGTCCAGGCGTCCTATAGCTAGCATATACAGCTAGTTAATACAACGTTGGTTAACGAGTGCATTCTTTCGTAATGACCCGATATGATCCCGCCTCGTGCAAACGGTTGTCAATTTTGTCAACACACAAGAAGAGCATGAACAGTCAAGGCCGCGCGCGCGATCCTCTCGTTTGAATATAAATTGCGCCAATTAGACTCACCTTTATTCCCGCCGCGTCTGTTTGTTCGCTGATTGGTCAGGATTACGGTACTGCTATCGCACTTTAAGTCCCCCGCCGCTCAACACTGTCGCAAGGTCAGAGGAAGAACCGCTCCGTCTTCTTCTTCTCTCATTCGAACGCTGTAACAAAAGCTACCGTGAGCTAACGTGGGAGCAATTTCTTTTGTCAGCCGACCGCGCATTGTTACACTTGCTTACGCCAACTTTCATATCGCGGTTTTGCAACATTTCTTTCCTCGAGCGATACTGTCTGTACGCGATACTAATCGCGTCGCTCAATCGACAATCGAACGGGCATCGGCCGTGTTTTACGTCAAATGACGTACGTATACCGGTGTAGAGTGCGTTATGCTATTAATAATTGCGGAAACAGACTTTAACGGGCGAATAAGGCGAATAAAGCGGTGAGAGAACGATGACAATCCCCGCAGTGGTAGGAATGTCAAGGTAATTTCACATTGAAATAAGAAAAAGTATCAATTTGTCAATTTGCTCTTGCGTAAAAATGTGTAGTACGCACACGCTTGACGAAAGTGAAGTTACTAATTGCTAAAGGCGCGATTTGTCGCGAGATCAATCACCGAGCATCCACCGAGTCTAGCGGCGCATCGAACGTTGCGGAAGGAAAGTAACGCGTATCTTTGCTGAAGCGAGCCCCGTACTTCGGAAGGAAGTTGCGGTTTTTAATCATGATCGTCCTTTTCCCACAGCAATCGCGAGATCATCGTCGATGACTTGAAACGCGACACAGGACGTTGCGGCTAACAGCGGCTATCTCATTTTTTACCGACGCTTCCGTCCACACATGTGCGATGTCCTTGGTGGATAAGTTACAATAAATCAAAGCGAGCGACTTTGGACTTTTATTGGCAATTAATCAAGCGGGCCTGTTTTCCGCAGTTTCACTGATGAAGAGAACAACGTTGGACGTTGTTTGCGGTTGTTTAAAGTTTCTTTGTTTCAATTGTAAACAGCGTTATCAACAGCGAGTCGCGCGTAAGCAACAAAGGCCGCCCCGAGCGTAGTCAACGTGATAATGCTTACGTTACCGCATATCGACCGCGCGCGTATGTAATGCAACAGGATATCGATCAGGATGACGTTCTTCTGCGCGTGGATCGTGCGTCCATTGCAAATGCAAATGCAAATGCAAATGCAAATGAAGATAAGCACTGAGATATTCGAGAAAGGGAGAAAAGGAGCGAATATGGGCACTGTGTTGCTCGATCGTAAACCTACTTTCCTGCGAAGCAAACGCGAATACATGCAGAGCGTACCCTTTCGCCGGCTCATATGCTCGTAATCGTCGTAGAGAAAGTGGCAAACATACTGAGTGATGTAGGGGAGTTTGCTCGCGATGGAGCCGATAAATTTCGCGCACTCGTCCGTTCCGATCGATCACTCGTCCCTCTACCCCTTTCTCCTTCCTCCTTCAGTGTCGCCAGCGCTGTTTCCGCAGTGGAAAAACATTGATCGAAGCTCGCTACGTTGCTTTGCTACCATGCCTACCATGACTGACTAAGAAGATCCGGCTCTAACCGGCGTCCGATTGAACGACCTTGCTCCCGGAGAAACGACGACGAGAGACGTTGACGTTAACGAAGGACACCTTTCGCGTGGGTGAGAGGATAGCGGTACTCGAGACCATTTGAAAAACACGTCAGACCGTCAGATCTCGGCGAGGAGAGCGAGGAGAGTCGATAGAAATCGACAGTGGGGTGAGAAGGGAAGAAAGAACAGAGAGAAAGAGATGCGATTCTTTTTCATCGAAAGAGATCCTTGACAGCGTTCGATTAGCTGCATGAAATGAAACACCGCGCACCGCGTGTGTACGCGCCGATTGCACGAAAGTAACCATTAACCGAGAGGGGAGAGGGAGAGAGACGGCTCATTCACGCCCGCGACGCCGACGCCGACGGTATAACGGATCCGCGGAGATTATTTATGCGATCTCACAATCGCGGTTACGTAAGACGAACCGCGTGGAACTGGAATAGCGGGAACTGGTCTCGAGCCAATAATTGCTGCGCGTCTTAATCGGTCGACGTTCGTCCTTCGGGGAGAGTGGCCTGAGATAGAGAGAGAGAGAGAGAGAGAGAGAGAGAGAGAGAGAGAGAGCCCGGGAGCAATCTTTGTCGAAGACCTTCTTTATTTATCCGCGAGTTGAACGTTTCCGGCCTCCTCCAACTCTCTTTCTAAACCAGTCGCCGCCTTACTGCCACTTACGTTCATGATAATTATATGTACGCACGCTCTCATTACTTGTCTTTTTTCAAAAGTCAATGTTTGACTCGTTTCGCGATTCATTAATTTAATAATTTCGTGCGTTAATGTGTAATTACAACGTTTAATCTTGTTATCGCATCTACAAGCGCGATAATTCAGTTTCAACAAGTTTCACGCAAACACAAATACACACACACACACACACACCAACTGGCCGAAGCCGAGGCCGATCGCATTGTGCGTAAAGGCTAAAGCAGACACACATCGTGCGTGCGTACACCACCCTTGTGTAACGAAGCGAAGCGACGCGCGCATTGTGTCGAACAAAAGCATCGTAGGACAACACAAACGAACGGATATGCCGTCCTTCTTGGACGCAAATTACCTTCGTCCTAATTCCGCGCTACAGTAGCGCGACTTGAAAAGTCGTTACTCACAGACGCATAAATGCGTCGGCAAGGTCGACCATAGATTCGTACGTATCTAGAACAGACAGGCAGACGCGGCCCCGCGCGCGTTCCCGAGAAATCTCCGTTTACTTTTCATTTCTTTTTCTCCATTATCTTTGATAATTACGGATCATCGATCGTCATGGCGAGATGCGAGAGCACGAGGGTAATCGCGAAATGACGCTCGTCTCTCGATCGAGCTCATCGAGCGAGACTCGATTGTGTATTCGCGCGCGAACAATGGGACGTAAAGTAAGTCCAAAGTGGGTGAACAGGTCACGAGGCACGCTACCGCCGCCACCACCACCACCACCACCACCACCACCACAGCCACGCGGTGGAAGCGGAACGCTGTTGTATGTATCTCGCGCTCTTTCTCCGGCCAGAAAGGCCGGAGAGACGCGAGCAGCATCTCTCGAAAGTCACAAAAGGATACGCGCGCGGGAAAGCTCCAGGAACGATACACTATTGAAATTCGTCGCTTTCGCTACGAATGGGCACGCGCTCGCTCGCTCACAATCGGCAGCATTCGATGCTGCCTAAGTGTGGTATGGTCGTCCGCAAATCGACCTCTGCAGATGCAAATTTTCAGACGTAACCTTCCACGACTGACCACAGCGCGTTAAAAGACCCGCTCGAGGAGGAGAATCTCTCTCTCTCTCTCTCTCTCTCTCTCCCTCTCTCTCTCTCTCTCTCTCTCTCTCTCTCTCCGCACGTGCGCCAAGCGCTCGTGTGTGTGTGTGTGTGTTACCACGGCATATGTAGCACCGTGAAATCGACGATCGGGCGAAAAACGACGAGTTTCGCGCTATAAAGGTGAAATGTCGAAATGTTGGGAGGGCTCGTCGGGAACACGCGACCGATCTCGCGCGGGCGAGATCTTCTCTCCGTTTTAACCACCTTTCACTCCGACGCCAAAACATCGCGCGGCGTGCGCGAGCGCGCGCGATTATTTAAATAACAGCTGCATCACGATCGAGCGGTGCTCGATTGTACTCTCACTTTCTCTGCGATATTGCCGCCGACCCGGTTTCCGACGACACAATTCGCTCCGCCAAATGGGAAAGTGAACACGCTGGACGTCGTGCTTGTCGTTTTTATCTTTCTCGGCGTCGGAGAAATTCTTTCCAAAGGAGTGGCAGCGCGCGGGGTATCTCCACCACTCGGTACACATCCATATGCGAATACGTCTCTGCCTGCTACAGACTGCTGTGTACTCGATATATTCGGCTCGGATAATTGTTCGGAAACGACACCGCGTCAACATTGCGTCTTTTATTTATTTTGCTTCTCTCGTTAGCGTCCGCGTTAAACGCGTTAAACGCGTCAAAGTCGTTAAAGGAAAAAAGAAACGTCGTTTCAAATGGTCCTTTGGGATTATCGCAAAAATGTCGGCAATCGTCGGCACGAGGAGATTCAGCGAGGTCGAATTGCCGGGTTTTGGGACGACTTTGTGCATACAGTACAATACACTATACGTCGATGGCGAGACGCCTCCTTCAGCTTCCGCTTTTACGAGGTCGTTCCGTGCGCTGTTCACTCTGTTTGTGAACGGATTTACGATTATTGACACGGAGCTTATACACGGAACCACCGACGATTACCGGCAATCATCGCGAGCGGTCGCTAATATTGTAATATAACGTGAACTCGAGTGTACGGAACGAGAGACGTGCGGAATGAGAGCATCCCGCTCGAGTCCTCTCTTCCGTTCAGAGATTACCTATGGTGACTTGAAACATGTTCTCGGCTAAAATTTCGCGCTTCTACACACGATATAATCTAAGCGGATAATTGGTGGCTGAAAAATGCGAGGCAATAAAATTTTTGCCATTTCGCGGCAGTTCGAATCGTTGAATAACGACGACTGCTTTCTATGCTCATAAATTGTGCGTGTCAACATCTTTGATCGAATCTTTCTCAGCTAAAGTCAAAGAAAGTTGTAGGTGATCGCTATGGTCGGACTTGGATCGTTTAATCCCACTCGCCCACCTCGCGATATCATTTCGCGTCTGCTGTTACCGCGCCACTTACTATACCCCGGAAATAGCTTTCACTTTCTCCTCACCGCTTTGGCTGCTTAACTTTCCCTGCCGTCGCTGATATCGGTCACCGACGAGCCGCATACGTATGCACGCACGCACACACGCTCTCATAAATAGAAAAAAGGGAAGAGAGAGAGAGAGAGAGAGAGAGAGAGAGAAAGAATCGAGAGTTTCTGGGTCGGCCGAGGGATGGGACAAAAAGTCCAACTCTCTGCCATTCTGGATGATTCATAAACTCTTTGTGAACCCCCAAAGTTGTGTCTTGTGCTACAACTATACGGTTAGGCTTGTCCTTCGCCAGGACAAGCCTAACCGTAAAAAACACGCCCCCCCCCCCCCCACAGCGCTTTCCATATTTCATCTCGTTGACGTTTATCTCGTTGAACCGAATCGATCAAAC